GAAAGAGAGAAAGCAAGCCACCAGGTCCAGGACTCAAACAGTGGGTGACCATATGGGATTGTCCAGTGCCTTAACCACCACGCCACCTACTGGTTTCCCCCCAACCCCGTCATTCCTATCTTAAGATAAAGTACTTACATCTGGCCTCATGTTGGTGAAAGTTTCAGAGGATATTATAACCAGTTATTTTACTCCAGAAAATAGAAAATCTCTAACAATTTGAAATACATAAGTGAATTTTATATTGTTACTGAAAACTTTTTTTTTTTTTTGTCTAGCAGAGCACAGAGCTCATAGTACTATTTTCTTTTAATTCTGAGAACACTCTAAACTGGTCCATGACTGTGAAAATCAGGATTATTGTTGTCTCGTTGGTTAGCTCCATGGTGAAAGTGTAAATATGTTTCTTGAATACTACTTTTTTTATTGAATAACACATAAAATTGAAATTGAAATTATTTATAAAAACACCACTTTGCATTATTTAACACCATCAAGGATATTTTAGTTAAAACATTGCCATTTCATTTATTTTGCAAATATTAAGTACCATCTCTGCCAGGCCTAATTCTCTATATAAAAGATATATAGGGACCAGCCAGTGGTGTGATGGTTAAGGTGGCTGAATCTCTAATGGCTGACTGTGCAGTTTGAATCCCAGACCTTGTGACTTGAAAGTCATAGGAGGCACATGTGCATGTGAGCCCAAAATCCCAAGAGGAGAATGGAGGAGAAAGGATTGTGGCATGGCCATCCCCTCTAGGGGTGATTTCTCACTTTGCCTCTCTCTGTCTTTCTCCAGCAAGAGTGTGAGCCTGATAGCAAAACTTAAAACAAAGAAGATCCCTGCCTTTAAAGTAGTGCTTCGTGTGTTTAGAAGTTTAATGCATTTAGTGCTTTGTGCATATTAGAAATTTTGTTTGCTAATTAAAAAAAATAATTTAGATCCTGGCAAAAAGTAATTTTCTAGCCATTTGACAGACTCGGAAAGAATTGATATGAAATGATTATATAGTTAGTATCCTGTGTAAAATCTACTACAGGGACCAGCAGTTAGCGTAATGGCTATGTTGCTGGACTGCCACGTAGTCGACCACGGTTCAAGTCCCAGACCCGGTGGCTTAAACTCACGCCGGGCGCGTGTGCGTGCATGCCCAAGATCCTGAGAGGAGAATGGAGGAGAAGGGATTGCGGCGTGACCATCCCCCCTGGGGGGTGATTTCTTGCTTTCTGTCTCTCTGTCTCTCTCTCTCTCTCTGTCTGGCGAGCGCACGCACCCTATAGCAAAAAAACAAAAACAAACAAAAAAACAACCTCTCCTAAAATCTACTACAGAAGGCTTTGTTGGGGCTATAAATCAAATTCTAAAGTATAAACGATGGGAATACTTTGTCTTATTAAGGCATTCCTAGTATATGGACCAAAGTTATTGATCCTGGTAATACACCTGCTTTCAAGAACCCTATTATTGGGACCAGCAGGTGGCATGGTGGTTAAGGCGCTAGATACTCCCACATGGCTGACCAAGGTACGAGTCCCAGACCTGGTAGCTTGCATTCTTACTTTCCCTCTCTCTCTCTCTGGTCAAATTAAAATAATGAATGAATAAATAAAATTAAGAAAAAAAACTATTGTAAATAGTTTTAAACCAGTTTTTATATGTAAGTGATCAGTTCTTTTAGAACCAGTAAGTAACCCTGGTAATTGTTATCTCTAACTCAAGGAATATTGCTTCAAACATTGTGTAGTTCAATGAAGTTGGAGCCAGTGAAGGAATACATTTGAATAGAAGGTTGAATTAGTGGTGGACAAGGCTAGTCACAAAATTGTCCTTGGGAGATGAAATACATGACTGTTCTAACAAATGAAAAAATACATATTTGGGTAGGGCAAAAGAGAAAGTAAGGAAACAGAACATAGGGACAGAATGTTTCTAGGAGGAACAAGAAGAAAAATTCATCAAAACCTACCACCTAACTCAGGGTATGTAGTAAACCCATGTAGCATATAAATTAGATTAATGGTCAAAAAAAATAGTAAATGTGCAAAACTAATTGGAATGAAAAGGAGTAGGGTCATGGGTTTGGGCATCGAAAGGATAATGACAGCATGTTGTGTTAGATTTTAAGAATTAATCAGCCTGAGTTTGGGAGGCATAAACATCATCTACCACTGGAAGACCACATCTGGAAGGCAAAAACATGTTATAGAGGTAAAACAACTTGTAGGGTGTTTTGTTTTTTGAGTCTTTCTCCACCCCCTGGCAAGGATTGGGGTGGGAAAGGTATAGAGTAGAAATTATCAGGAGTATTTAGCTAGCAAAATAACTTCATCAGTATTGACTTTAAAAAAAAATTTTATTTATTCCATGAAAGAGAGAGACAGAGATACAGGACTGTCAACAGGATCTTGACTCAGATAAACTTCCAGCTTCAGCTAGCCTAGATCGTAGGCAAATGAGTACCAGGCTACTCAGAGAAGTCTCCAGTTGCAAACTGGCAACCTTCCCTTGTAACTCTGCCTCACAGTGTTGTTATTTACCACTGTGCCACCATCTGGCCCCTCAGTGTTGACATTTTACTATGTAACTTCAAAAAGTACATTATGCTTGGGCCAGCAGGTGATAAGGTGGTTAAGTGTTAGATTCCCACCCACATGGGTAACCGCGGTTCAAGACCTGGACTTGATAGTGTGTGTGTATGCATGCCCAAAATCCCAGGAGGAAAATGGAAGAGGAGGGATTGAGATGTGACCATCCCCTCAAGGGATGATTTCTCACTTTCCCTTTCTCTGTCTCTCTCTGGCAAGTGTACATGCCCCATAGCAAAAAACTAAAGAAAACCCAACAACAAAAAACACATTATGCACAGTGTTCAGCAAAATGTACTGATATTTCAGCCTCTTAGGTAAGTTTATCCTATTTGTAAGAATTAAAACCTATCGATAAACATATATCAGACAGAACACCTCGGAGAAAGAGAATCCTTGGACTGAGATGGAGAAAATCAGAGTTTGTGTTCGAAAACGCCCTCTGGGCACAAGGGAGGTACGTCGTGGAGAAATTAATATTATTACTGTAGAAGATGAAGAAACTCTACTTGTGCATGAGAAAAAAGAAGCAGTTGACCTCACACAATATATTCTGCAGGTATGATATTGGGGTTTTTTTGTGTTCAATACTAGTATTATTAAGTATATCCACTTTTTACTTTTTGTTTGAGTGATAACATACAAATTATAAATTCCAGTTGAGGTGTTGGCATTCTTTTCTGTTGTGATATTGTTTTAAATCTTCAGTGTCCTATTTTTAATATTCTAAAAATACCATGTAGTGGAGGAGACAAAAACATAATTTCTCTACTCTTGCTCAATGAATCTACATCAGACATTCACTTAACACAGTTTATGTGAACTTAATTATACATGTATACAGCAAAAGGGAATGAGGAGGTATTAATAAAAATAATTTTATCCATGAAGTGGCTGTCGACAGAAGCAGTCACTGAGCATATGCCCTGGATTTACTCTGAGATGGTCTCAGTCTGCCTATGCTTCTTGCAGTGTGAACTTCTCAGTCTCCTGAGTGCATGAATTGATTTAATGATGGACATTATCTTTTTGAGCAATAAGGCCCCAGAATGCCAGCCAGCTGCATATTTTGATTCTTAGTTGTTTGGGGGCTTAGACCTAATTGGTGGAAATTGAGCTCTGAGCAAGCCACTTTGTATGAGGGTAGATTGCAGTGGAGGAAATATAATACAGGGATATGATTTCACATTTAACATATAAGGGTTTAAATAAAACACTAGTAGCTCAGACACATAAAAAATATTCACTCCCTGCTAGAATGATCATGAAAAATCTGAAGAGAAAGGGTCTGGTATTGAAATGAACTTAATTCCAAGCTGGTAGATATTCCTGCAGTAACTCTTCAGTCTTATAGAAAAGGAGCAAACTACACAAATGGGATAGATCATAATTTAGGTGCTGCTAAAATTTTGAAACAATTGTGAATAATCTAAAATGGAATCATTGACCAGATGTTAAGATTTGGAAATTAAAAAAAAAAAAAGATTTTGAAATTAAGAATTACTCTGAATCTGCCTTACTAAATGTTCCTATTACTATATTCTCTTTCTCACTCACTCTCTCACTCTCATTCTTGTCTTAAAACCCAGTGATTAGTAGGAAAAAAGTGATGAGTAATTTAATATGCTAGCAATTCACCTTAGTTGATTGAGCTCTTACTTTGCTGAAATAAATCCTTTAACACTGAAGTTAAATTGTTAACACCTTTCCCCTCTTTCAAACTTGTGTTGATATTCTTTTTCTTTGGTTACCAAAATGGAGTTTCATAGTGACAGTCAAAGTAATCCACTAAATTTCTATGGACATTAAATTACTAAACCCATAGTAATACTAGGCCCAATTACTATTGATTGCTGATCAATGCACAGTCTATTAGGTCTCAGTGGGAGGCATTTATTTTGAAGATGGTCTAAATGACCAATTAGTTGTAATGCTAGCTAGTTCCATGGCTACTTATAGCCATAGAAATAGCCCTATCCAATCACCCTCTACCCATGACTTTCTTAATAATGCTTCTGTCACAGTAATTCCCTTAAGGAGACATCAGCTTATCTTCTGTATTTTTTCATTATCCCAGAACACAATAACCTTACTTCTTTGTCATTACCATTGGTCAATATTTATTGAATACCCATAGTTTCCATGGTACTTTTCTCTGGTGTTTGAACTTTGGACCTCTGCTCTCATAGGTCAAAGAACTGACTTGTCAATGCTACAATATAAAAATGTTGGGAGGACTTTTTTTTCTTTTTTCTTTCTCGAAGAGAAAGAAGAAAAGAGAGGTCCATAGCAAACTGGGTGTTAAATAAATATCGATCCTAGATTCCATGTTTGTTTTATTTATTTATTTATTTATTTATTTATTTATTTATGGGAGAGGTTTTTGCTATAGGGCTCATGCACTTGCCAGAAAGACAGACAGAAAATGAGAAATCACCCCCCCAGGAGGGATGGCCATGCTACAATTCCTTCTCCTCCGTTCTCCTCTCAGGATCTTGGACATGCACGCACACGTGCCCGCTGTGAGTTTAAGCCACTGGGTCCGGGACTCGAACTGCGGTTGACTACATGGGAGTCTAGCAACACAGCCATTACACCAACTGCTGGTCTTGATGTGTTTTATTTTAAACTTAGAGATTAAAACAATAGGTGTGTGTGCCTGTTTAGTATCTTACCTTTTCCAATCTTATTCGTTAGTAAATATGATCATATATATGCAGTGTGCTACATATTGAATTATTACATTTTATGAAATCAGCACAAAAGTGAAAAACATCACAGAAATAAAACTGCATTGTTTCATTCCATTTTCTTAAAGAAAAAAATATATACAAAAATATTGTATTAAACTATATAAAAGAGTCAATGGGGGCTAGCTAGGTGATATAGTGGTTAAGGCCACTGGATCCCACGTGTTCTACTGCATGGTTCAAGTCCCCAACCCAGCAGCTTGAAAAAAACATGTTGGGCACATGTGTGTGTTTGTTCAAAATCCTGAGAGGAGAATTGAGAAGGGATTGCAGTGTGGTCCCCAATCCTGAAGGGTGCTGGGTGCTTTCTCACTTTTTTTCTCTCTCTATCTCTCTGGCAAGCATATATGACCTATAACAAATTAAAAACAAACAAACAAAAAAATATATATGTAGAGGTCGGCAGGTGGTGTGGTGGTTAAGGGTTCTGGAGTCCCACATGGCCAACAGTGGTTTGAGTCCTGAACCTGGCAGTTTGCTTTCTCACTTTCTCTCTCTCTCTCTCTCTCATTCTGTTCCTCTCTGATCAAATTAAAATAAATATATAAAATAATTATTTAAAAAATATATATGTATATAAATATATGGATACTGATATACTAGCTTATCAATGGTGGCACACGTGGTTGGGTGCCACTACATGAGGCTGGGGCCACATGGGAGGCTCAGGTTTGGTTTGGGACCCACCTAAAGACATAGGCAAGACTTTCAAAAATAGCTTTCTTTCTGTTTTCTGTCTCTTCCCCTCTCCTCTTCTTTTTCTCCCTCTTACTCATTAAAAAAAAGAGAGTATAATGAGCCTCTATGTACTTACCACACAGCTTCAACAATTATTAACTTTTAGTTAATAACTGTGTCCTTAAAGTCTTAGGCCCAACAGGTGGTGGTGATTAAGGTACTGGACTCCCACATGGCCAGCTTGTGGTTCAAGTGCCAGACCTGGCCTCTTGCTTTTCCTCTCTCTCTATTATTTTTAAAAATATTTATTTATTTTATTTGTTGTTATTATTATTTTAATTTGGCCAGCGAGAGAGAAAAAGAAGAAAAGACTTGAACCATGATCAGCCATGTGGAAGTCCAGTGCCTTAACCATCATGCCACCTGCTGCTTTCCCCTTACTCTGGTGAGCACATGTGCCCTATAGCAAAATTAATAGTAATAATGGTAATAAATAAAATTATTTTTTTTAAGGAAAAAAAATCACAATTTTCAAGGCACTAAAAGGTCACAGATGTCTTCACCATTCTGCACAGATCAGATTCACTATCTTCTCACCTAACTTCTGGATATTTTTTCCAACTGATGAATTTGACTTTCTGGTCCCATTTCTTTTCATTTCTAGATTACCTAACAAATTTCTATTCTGTTGTAATAGTACACAAAACAGAATTGAACCTGGGGAGTGGCCCTCAATAAATAGGCCTCAGACTAGATCAGGGTCTCTCCAGGCTAGATCAGGATCTGTCCATACATATTTTCCTTAGAGAAGGCCCAAAAGGTGACAGAAGGTAGGGCCTTATCTAGCATTCATTGTGTACAGTCATTACGCTCTACTCAGACTTGAAATTGCTGTGATTTCTTACTCAGATATTGTTGGGCTACCACATGTTAAGCCTCTAAATTATGCAAATAATTATGGCTACTGAATTAATGCTTCTCAGATCCAATTTAGTGGAGTCTCTCCTTTTCTATATTACCATGATTCTTTTCCTTTGGAAGTTATCTTGGACTATTTTTTTGTCCTCAGATCTCTGTATCCAATTGCCAAATTTCTTATGTATCCATCTCTTTATTCCTATTGTCATCATCTAATTTAGAACTTTCTGACCTCACCACTGAATTACTAGGGTCCTTGTTCATAATCTATTCATAGTGTTTAACCATATGAATCTTCCATTAAAATGGCTCAGATCGTCCTTCTTTGCATAATTCTTATTAAAATTATTTTTGTTATTTAAAAAAAAATTGCTATAGGACATGTGTACTTGCAGAGAAAGAAAGAGGGCACACCTCCTCACTCCCCCACCCCAGGGTCAGCAGGTTGCATAGTGGTTAAGGCGCTGGACTCCCACATGGCCAACCATGGTTCAAGTGCTGGACCCGGTGCTTAAAACTCACGTCAGGCATGCCAGCGTGTGTGCCCAAAATCCCAAGAGGAGAAAGGAAAAGGGATTGTGGTGTGGTCATCCCCCCAAGGGGTGATTTCTCTCTCTCTCTCTCTCTCTCCCTCCCTCCCTCCCTCTCCTCCCTCATCTCTTTGTTTCTCTGGTGAGCATACACAGACTAGCAAAAAGTCTCTCTCCCAGGTAGCAGGAATCAGATTGCTGGCAGGTAACTAGGCCTCTGTGGAGGCGAATTGGGCCGCAATCAGAGCCATCAGAATCGCCACCATGACTGTGGGTAAGAACAGCAAGATGCTGCAGCACATTGACTACACAATCAGGTGCATCCTGTAAGACAGCTGAGATCTTCACCTTGAAGGCTTTTGACAAGCATGTGAATTTGATCCTCTTCAGGAAGATCAAGCCAAAGAACTCCAAACAAATAGAAAGGGAAAATAAGTGTGGTGCTATTGCGAGGAGAGAACCTGGTCTCCATGACAGTAGAGACAGTAGAACCTTCTCCCAAAGATACTGGCATTGCTCAAGTGCCACTTGCTGGGGCTGCTGGAGGTCCAGGCATCAGCACGGCTGCTGGCAGAGGAATCCTGGCTGGTGTTCCTATGCCCCAGGCTCCTGCAGGACTTGGTGGCCCATTCTATGGAGTTGGTGAGCCATTCCGTACCACCCTACTCTGGGGAATGGTTGCA